TAATCAACTTGAATTAGTTCCTTGTCATATTTTTCCGACGATGTATAAATTACCGAGCGCGCGATGTTTCAAATCATGGCACATGAAGATTGTTCTGTATTTGTTTGAAATTCAATTGCTATGTTATATCACAGTCCCTCTATCTATCTCTATAGAGGAACTGTGGTTATATTTAAACAAGCAAATTGTAATTCGTTCTTGAGGATGTTTATATCAGTTGTTGTTTTGTGGGGTTAGCGTTAGGGGGGTTGGGAGATAAGCATTCATTTACTTAGTGGACAGAGGTGGAGTTAATTACCCATGAGCACTTGGTGCAATCCAAGGGATTGAGTGGTTCCCCTTTAAAGTACATTTTTTTTATTATTATTTCAAGAGCACTAACGCCCCTTTTAGGTCATGTAAGGTCAACACTCATGTGACAAAAATTCCATATGCACTAAAGAGTAAAGTACAATAAATATTTAGTTTTTCCTGTTAAAAATGAGGCAGGTCACTAATTGCATCAATTAGCAATTTTAATTATATTATTAAGTCATTGTTATGCATGAAAAATTACTTTATTTGACAATAAACCTGCAAGTGCTCATAAACGTTTTTTTAACGGTTAGGAAGTACCCCTCAAATAATACAGTACAAGACTGAAACTATCACAGAAATTAATTGAATTTACTTTCATTCAGGTAGTCAATTTGAACTTGACTTAATTATGCATATAAAAAGTATAATTGTAGTCATGAATGAAATAATATATGATGATCTTAATTACTCCCTACTGTAAAGAAGCCATACTATGTAGACATTTGCAACAAGCTGTGCCAATGACTGACAATTTATATTACAAAAGGCTAAAATTACTAATAATTTATTATATGATATCTATAAAGTATGTTTTAATATTAGTATAATGTGTAGTCATATATGGGTTTGGTTTACGAAATGTATTCGGGCGTTCAGTATGTCATATCAGCAGTAGATAATGTACCAATCAAGAAAACTCAAATATTGATTCCGATTATAGATCAGATTGGGAAAGTTCAAGCATGAGAAAAATGAAAATAACTTTTGCTACTCACTTGCAAAGGCAGCTTAGCTACTGTCGCATAGGCCAAACCCTGTGGAATAACTGTTAAGCCAACAGTTAGTCCGGCAATAAAGTCATTGAGTAAATAGCTTGGTTTGTATTTTGGAAGCCATATCGTGATCGGTAATTTCTTCTTCCAGTTTTTCACAGTGCACGACTTTCGAAAAAAATCCCTGATTCCCTGCTTGACAGTCATAGCCGCGTTGGGACCATCCACGATATTGATACTCCCAACTACAGATGTGTCAGTGGATACTGGCATAAGGGGTTCAGTCTGACTCCCTAGAAGATCAGCCATTGCACCTGTGATTGACAGCATAACTTTGATTATCACATATGAGTTGACAGAACAGATTACATTACTACAAAGAAACATAACAATATACATACACATTTCAATGTTTTAGTTTTATTATTTCTAGGTATACAAAAATCATACTTGCTCAATACTGTATTTGTTCTATTTGAAGTACATACAATAACATAAATTTAAAATTGAAGCCGTGTAATAACCAGAACCATCAAAAACATGTAAATTATTTGACAATAATGCATGACAGTAATTTGAAAATGGAAAAAAAACAAAAAACAAGCTGCCTGTTGGCTGAGATAGCTCTGCTGTTAGCAATGCACATTTTAATTAAAGAACTGAAGACATCATTAGAAAATGAACAATATGTTAAGTATTAAAGCAATCAGACTGTTTTCAACAAGAACTTGAAAATATCACTTTTTACCAAAAATGACAAAAATATTCATCAAAATTAGAGAATTGTAGATATCATCACGAAATAAACAAATCTGAAAGAAGTCCACATGTGGTACCTATGTATGTAATATTAAAGCAATTGGACTTGCAGTTTTTAACAAGAAGTCAAAAAAATCACTTTTTACCAAAAATTACAAAAATATTCACCAAAATATAACAATTGAATGGTTATTTTGGAAAATTAAAATACTAGGTATAACCAGAACATGTACTTATTATTGTCCAATATGTACCATATATATATGTTTTTTCCATTGAAGATGTGCTTGTAATAGAGTAAATATGGTGCATGCTTGGGAAAATGACCAAGAGTATAAGTTTTCATGACTGAAAATATCAATTTATAAAAGTCAGTATACTTTAACACCACTGACTATGTTCTCAGGAATATTTCAAAGTTGTTTTTCTGCACTTACTGTAAAATTCAAACAAGTTTAGAACCATGGTAAAGCGCTGAAACGGAATGCCTTTAGAACACAGAACTAATCATAAATGTATCATTCAACAGCATGTGTGTGATATTTAAAAAGATGAACACTCTTGTCAGTAGATTTGATGTACACTAGTTTACATCATGTTTTTAGAATTCCAGGGAAAGTTCAAATCAACTGCTACAAAAGTTTACTCTGATCCATGAAATTCAGTTACACAGTACAGTGCATTATAATCAGGACACCGGACAGGACATACTAAAGCGCACAAAGTTGAAATTTTTTTTTTATTTTTTTTTTTATTTTTTTTATAATATATCATTTTAGATCCTTGACTATATATCTTTAAATGAGTGAGTTACAGCAGCGGAAAAAAAGATTTGTATGAGGAGTTATCGAACCCCCAATGAACATAACAAGGAACTTCTATATTGGCGATATCAAATGATCTAACATTCTGAAAATGATTTGCTACATTTTGTGACAATCTCACTTCCTCTGATGCCAGGTACCCACTATGGTTAAGTTGTTGTCTGTTTTCAAATTGCAACTATGTTGTGACTATACTAAGGAAGTTGTAAATTATTCGTACGAATCTTATTATTAATATTCAGCGATAACGTGCCACAATAGATCGTGTTAATTTATAAATGTGGGCGTTTCCCGTCCCAGCGATATCACACGAGACACGTCACACATGGGAGGGAAGAGTCTCTTTTCGATTATAAATTCGTACGAATAAAAACAGTTTAAGTATGTCCACTGGACAAATCCGTTTATAAAGGGAATGATCTACATGTGACACGTTGTGCCACTCATCATCACCAAGGCAATTATTGAAGTACCTGATGCACGCAGTCCGCTGATTAATCTGACAACGGTGCAAGGCTTGTGTACATACAGTGTTATGTACCGGTTAACGGTACTACAAACGGCGCTTGTATTCAAAAGTTACATTTAGCGTGTTCCAATAAAATGTCGAATTTAAGATTGTGAGACAATGGGATCAGTGACATGTTCTACTCGCATAAACAAGAAATCCATTGACCGCCGGTCGTAGTCGGTTAAAACAAACCCATGTTACCGGAAGCGACACACATGCAGTCACATGAAATATCGCGGGTACATTGTTATTTTATTTTATCGACTCAGTCGACTTACCTTCGTTGAATGTCACCGATTGGAGCACAAAATATGAGTTTGATTGAAGGGAGCGTTGTTGGTAAAAACTGATGTCATACCCATGTCCCATTCATATTTCAAATCTTAGTACAAAGGCGACTCTGTGAACAATAGAGTGATCCTGTGATCAGCTGCTATGACTGGCATCATGTGATCTTTTCGCGCCGACCGCCAGTCAACCATGGCCAATCAACGCATTTAGTAGTATTTAGTAATTCCTACGAAGTAAATGCAGTTTGGTGCCCTTGGTTCAATACGTTATCGTGGTGGTTAATAAGTAGCATTCTGTGCGGCAAAATCAGTAACGGTTCAGTTTGACCTTTGACACAGGAGGAGGGTTAGCATCAGGTGACTCAACTAGCGGACGGTGGATATCACGTCGTCTGCTCGCTGAGGGCGTCTGCTCAAATACTAGTATTTGTAGCATCATCTGTTCATACCTCCATGGTAGCATCAACAATAATTTTAGTTGTGGATCCGTCATTCGTCATAAAAAACGAGATGAATCAAACGAGCGACATTTTACAAATTCACGGTGACATGATAACGATTGCACAACGACAATATTATGTTGTACTTTTTTATTTTTAATGTATTCATTCATGGAAGTGTTTCGCGCTGCTAAATGTGCGCAAATAGTCACGTGCAAGACGTATCATCGATGAGAATCGTATTATAGATGTTTGGTTGGTCTGAATTATTAAAATACAATTGATTATTAATATTCACCATCAGCGCGCGACGAATTATTTTGCTAGCATGTTAAACCACAGTGTATAAGTTATTATTTAACATGTACTTGGGAATCAAAGGTCAACAGTCTGACGGGAAAACCAACAAGGACACACAATTGTTTCACAACTTCCCAAAGTCTAGATGTATTATTGAAGATATTCTTTGAACGTATACTGTTATGTTATGTATATATGTGAGTATGGACGAAACTAAAAGTTATATACATCGTATCTACATTTTGAAGTTTACCCATGCCGCCGCGACCATGGATAGAACCGACAGCGTTTGACATAGAACCATTTTTGTATTAGACCTCTTTTCGCGTCGTACTCTCAAATTGGTTTGGTTTGAGGGCACATTAAAGTGCCATGATCCCAAAATCATTGACAGTTATTCACCACAGTGGTTTATTGACGACCAAAGGTGTATTTTATATTGCACCAAACATTTGTTTTGAATTGGACTTTGGCCGGTCACGGCTTCCATAATGAGGGATCCGCCAATTTTGCCAACCGTGGAGGAGCAAACAGTGCAACCCACACCGGCTTTGGAAACCCGACATTCTGCTATGCGGCAGATGGAAAGTTTATATGAAAAAATTCGAAAACAGAAGAAGCTCACGTGGGTTTTGATTTGGAGTATTGTTCTGACGACAGTGGTGGCCGTTACTCTATTGGGAGAGGAGTATGAGGAAATTGCCGGTCTAGTCGTCGGCTGCGCATTTGCTGTGTTGAGTGTAATGCTGCTCGCCGTGGTGGTCATGAACTGCGTGAAAATTGAGAGAGCCAAGCATGAAATTAGAAGACTCGACCGACACACCTCCACGTCAAGACGTATGAGGTCTAGGGTCAACCCCACCGACCCCGGTATCTGCGACGACACCGAGTATGGAATTGACAACTTGGGATTTACTCAGCCATCCGCAGATTTCGTATGTGTCGCACCCCCTTACGAATCTGTAGTCTCCGGTGATGGCGCTCTTCCTGAAGGACCGCCGCCGTCGTACGAAGACGCGATGAGGGAGACGGTCGATACTCCCGGCAATACTCAAGATACGTGCATTGAACGTGAAGATGGAACACATTCATGCCACATATGAACTGGAACTTGTCCAAGAATAATGAATTTACATTGTCAACGATGACTGGAACAATTGTATATAAAACATTAGAACCGGAACCTGAATCTGCCGAAAATTTCTATTTAGGAATGCAATTTAATTACAAATTAATTCAACTGAATTATAAATTGCAGTTCTATATAGGAATCCAACGCAATTAAATTGTAATTTATAAAGCAATGCAATTTAATTACAGTTTAATCTGTACATAGTTTGAATAAATTAAAATCAAGAAAATTCAACTTATGATATAACTGGTCTTGTCATTGGGATATCATGCTAAACCCTAAAATTAATGTCAAGACCACGCATTTGCTAAACTGACTTTACTATTTATTTTCAAGTTACTCAATTCCGGCTTCGGTTCCGCATTCCGCAAACAACCGGCTGAGGCGGAACTCTAACAGAAGACGTGCACAGTTATACCGTGACTAGAAAAAATACCTTCGCATGTTGGGAGGGGTGTTCATTTTAAGATTTTGAGGTCTATCTTTGTTTTGTTTTTATTTTGAACTCACTGACTGGGAACGCCAAGTGCGAGAATCAGTCGTTCAAAGCCTGATTTATTTTCCGCAGAAATGCTTAATGCATATGTTGACAATTTTTATGTAATTCCCTCTAAAACTAACTTTAGTGCCGACCTGAGAATTAACAGAAATAATTTCCCGCCAAATATACGGGCGGAAATTACTAATACATTTTAATCAAATGTTGGAGATTTTTGTCCAATTTTATAATAACTTGTTTTTTTTTGTACCTATTTTGAAAATTCATTCCACCAGAAAAAACATATGAGGATTTCTAAGTTCATGGGCAGATTTATTTCCCGCTAAAATGTCTTCAGTAATTTTCTCTAATTTTATTGTTAACTACAAATAAAACAGATATTTATGTTACATATGTGCACAGGATGTGTTGATACTTAATGATTTTCAACAAATATTTCTAATTTTATCCATTTTTTCCGATTAAGACAGTTCGCAAGCCGCTTATATAAAATACTTTTGTGGTAGCGAAGTGGAGAAAACAGACAGAAGCAGCTAGGTAGACATTTTGAATGTTTTTTTTTGAAAAATTAGGCAATGACTTAATGTTTAGATTTCTCCAAAAAATTTCATTAAAGGCTAATCCCGGAAAACAACCAGATGAACGAGCTCCACAAATAAAGGAGAATGTAGTTTGCATTATTTATATCACTTTCCATTCTCTAGATCTTCATCTTTTTATCATTGTTATGCAGTCCATCATCTTGATTCTCCGGCACAGGATTATGGGTAAAGTATTACGTTACAGTCGCTGAAAAATATTTTAAGTATTTTTTTTTTCTTCAAAATTACAACAATATCACCATTTCAATAATCATGTTTTTGTTATCATACAAAAGATACGCAAACAATCACATATTTTGCGATATTGTGAAAACTTGTTATCTCGTCCGTATCATCGTAGTTGAAGGTCAGGTCATATGAGGAAAACAACTGTTGTTGTCAAAATGTTTCTTGTGGTTACAATAACTCAAACAGTTTTTACACAATTTCAAACTTGGATATTAACACATTTGGGATCTGAGATAAGTTTGATTTTCAGTAGGTGTTATATGTATATTGGTTACATTTCATTTAAAATTGTTTTTTTTTACGTGACCATTTTCAAATTTGGGAGTCTAATCAATCAATCGACTTGAAATGTTCAGTTTTGGTTGAGCTAGCAAGAGCAATTTTTATCATGATGATATGGGGTAAAATTTGACTGAAATATTTATTCAACGGAGAAATAAGTGACCAAAATTTTGGCATTTATACTGCCGTTAATGAGAGTCATTGATAATAAATTCTTCAAGATCTGCCAATAGGCAATTTTTATGACCTCTAAAGTTCATACATCCTGGTACTTTCGTTGGCATGACAACTTTCATAATTGGGGGCATGCATCTTAATGCGTCTTTTTGTTTCTGACAGTATCATTTCGCCCCAATAGCTAAAACAAAAAGTCAAATCTAGGAATTTGTGTTGAAATATCAATAAAATAAGTACCTGGATGTGTGACCTCTAGAGGTCATGGAAGTGACCAATTAGATAAGTGTAGTAAACAATATGTTGTTTTCGTTATAAGTGTATAAATAAAGACGACGTATATATCACGCAATGAATTATGGGAGAGAACCTCCCATTGTAATATAACATAAATAATATCACATTGAAAACTCACTTTATAATTACTTATTTTTTAACAATATTAGGATTTATGTCAATAATGATATACGACTTTTTTCATCTCAAATCAAAGAGCAAACTTTGGAGTTATGGAGAAATGAATAATGTCACAGCTAGACTAGTGGAAATGCGATTTTTTTCATTTTCCATGACTTTTTGGATCTTGTTTCTCGAAATTTTTTCCAGGGACATATTTTTTAAATTTTTTCCCAAAATTTTGACCAAGACCTGTAGCTAGCAGGTATGTATTATGTATGTTAATTTTGTCCAAATAGTGTAGAAATGTATAAATTCAAATAAAATTTAAAATAATGTTGCAAATAAAATGTTGGCGGGAAAAATTTTGCGCTCAATTATTAATACCCTGTGGCTGTGTATTTATCTGTTTATTGACATCTTTATGATTAGAATATTTACAGAAGACATATCAACTCGACCTTCTCACAATACATGGTACTCTCCCGAGACTTTGTACCATATACTGAGTGCCTTACCCAGGTAACGCGAAGCCTACAATTGAATTGAAAACTAACTTATTATGTCTGCTTGCCTGGAACTCCTGAGACGAAATTCAAGTTAACGGTGCCTGCGATGGGAATCAAGGGAACGCCAGTCTGGTATCAAGTAAAAAAAGTTGTCTACCTCAGCGTTCTAGGCGGTCGTTATCGGGTGATTCTAGTACCCACTTTCAAATGGCGGAGTCTTCCAACAGCAGGCATATCACCAATCAACAGATCATAGCAAAACTGAAAAGATACAAAATATTTGGTATCGTATGTGGAGTGACAGCCCTGTTGTCCTTTCTTATATCCGTCTTGAGCTTGGCTAGTTTAAGCTTAGGGGTGGACGAGGTGGAAGCCCATGCGGGATTCTTTATTCTTATCCCTGTCGTTGTCACAGTGGTGTGTACAATATGTGTTGCCAAATCAGTGGACAAAGTTTGCGAATTAAAATCGATTTTAGACAACAGATCGAATATGTTTGTATCACAGTATAGAAACAGTAATGGGACCCATTTTGCAGCAGATTATCGCAGAGCGACTCATAACAACTCTCGTGTAACGATGTCAAGA